ATAATATCAACCATTCATCACATGATTCTTTTTTTATACGCCTTAAAATCAAGGATAACACTTTTCTCTTGGTTTTCAATATATGACAGATGACAAAACACTGAATAGACAGATTTGATAAAGAAAATACAAGGTCAAGTAATCCAGAAAATTTGACAGCAAAGACATGTTCACTTTGGGATTTAAAAATCAGGGGGCAGGGACGAAGAGTTCCTTAAACAATCCTACCCAAGATAGGAATGTGGGCAAGTGCATTACAGTACTGTGGAGTAGCCCAGGTGTGTCATTTATCTGTAGAGCCAATGTGTCTGTTTCTTTGCCTGGAATAAGCACAACAGAGGAAATCAGGCTATCACTGATTATATATGATAACTCCTATCTTAACAAAGTACCTTCAGTATATGTAGATATTTTGGTTTGGCAAAGAACTATGTTAACATGCATATTTCAACCATGCTTCTTACTATTCAGTATTTTATAGCTAGCGTTCCTCTGGGGAGGGGCATTGGAAGAGTCACAAATCTCTGCAACCAAATGAAAATTTGCTGGTCTGTTCACATGTCTTTTTTATGAAAGATAAGCTATAGTTACATGCAAACACAATAGTCACCCCAAAAATATAAGCAGAATACAGAGAAGCTCCAGTGTACATGAAGTAAATTTTCAAAAATTGTTGATGTTGACATGAAACAGTACTTAATCTATTATACTACTGAGATGTTTTAAGTTCTAAACATAATGATAAAGATTTTAAATAACCACAAGTTATTCCAGTAAGTATATCTTTCAGTTCTTTGTCAGGACAGTGGTTTTCCAAATTAATATAATGCCAATGACACCTTTGGTCCTCTGTCTTGCAAGTTCAAGTTCTCTCATGACATGAGGTTCCAGAAAAGTCATTTTATGTCCTGAAAATGCTTCCCCACATGTTCACCCCCAAAAAACCATACAATTGGTTCAGTAAATGCAAAGCTATTTGTTTTACATGTAATATGGTTTATAATGCAAATGTCCTAAAACATTTAAAGCATCGTGTGTTTGGCCAGTTATGAGCCAACCTTTGGTAGAATCCAGTCTTGTCTTCCCCTCTAGAGTCATTCCCAGCCTGCTATAGCTCTCCAGGTCAGTTTCTAGTGGGCTTACATCAAGAAATGTGAGTTAGAACTACATCAAACAGTATGAGTCAGAGCTAAGAAGCAAAAGATAGAATATCCTCAGAGCAGGACAGATCCAGCAAGGCCCTTCCAGGCTGTTCCTTAAAGAGCTATTTGGCTCCTCACCAACCATTCAGAGTTTGAGGAGGCAACTAGAAGTGCAAAGAATTCGTCATATACCCAAAATGCCTAGAATTAGGTCAAATGGAATATGGCCTCCGTCTTTCTTTAGCAATCTGCATGAAATCCTGTTTTCAAAAGATTTCTGTGAAACTTAGGAAATGAGAGTTGGTTGTGTACTGAAGTTCCATTCACATTGAACCAATTGAACATGGTGTCAAACAGACAAGAGGAATCTAGGAGACGATAAGGAAAGGCGCTGACATCAAATAAGTTGGCTCAAGTTTTTCTGTATATTGCAAACGTAATTGTTCAACATTTTCTGAGATTATGATGTGTTAAGTTCTGTCTTAAAAGCCATTATTTCTGGAATGAAGATATTTCTCTTGTATAAAGCAATGCTGGTAGCAGATAATAATTGGCTATTTGGTTGTGCATGTCTGAGTTCCCTGTTTCATTTGGTTCCCTTGAGATACAAACTCTTCTAGAGAAAATAAAACTTCATAAGACATTAGAACTACTAAGTATGATATAAGCTATTTGAGGCATGAAGCAATGACTCAGTGGTTGAGACCATTTATTGCTCTTGTCAAGGACCCAGGTGCCATTCCCAGCATCCACATGGTAAGGCACAATCATCCATAATTCAAGTTCCAGGGGACTCAATATTCTCTTTTGATCTCCAAGGGCACATGGCAGGCTAAGTATTACTGTCTTTGGTGTGGCAATAATTTAGTTTTATTTAAAAATATTTAATTGGCTCAAAATCATATAAATTTAAAATGCATAATGTTATAATTTAATAGAGGTATACACTGTATAATTATCATAATTATGTTAATATACCCATCACTACTCATAGTTACCATCCTGTGTGTATGAGCAAAAGTGTGTGTGTGTGTGTGCGTGTGTGTGTGTGTGTGTGTACTAAGGACATAAGCTCAATTCTTATCAAACTGCAAGTGTTCAATGCATTGGTGTTACCTACAACCAGGTTGCTGTTCATTAGGGAATAAGAACCTTGGACTCTCATACGTGAAAGCTTTATGTTCTTTGACTGGCAGCTCCTCACCCACAACCCTGTGCCTTAGACTTTTCAGATTGCATGTATAAGTGGGATCATACAGTGTTTTTCTTTTACTATAGAGCCTATAATTTCAGCCATATGTGGGCAAATTGCATACGGGATTTCTTTCTTTCACATGTTGAATAATATTCCATTATGAGGGTGTACCACATTTCTGTTTATTCATTCATCTGACAGTGGACACTTGAACCTCTGTCTCTAGGCTACCATGAAGTGAAGATTTTAATTCTTTAAGGTATAGACCTATGAAAAGGATTACTATATCCACAGCAGTGCAATGCTTCATGTCATCATCAGTGGAGCTCAGGGTTTGTGCTTTCCCTACATCTTTACAATCCCTCTGTTTTCTGCCTTTTTACAATAGCTGTCCTGAGGGTGTGGTATGGTGTTTCCTAAATAACTGCTGATATTAATCATTATGTGTCCATTGGCCAGTAGAATATCTTCCTTAGAGAAATGTCTACCCACACCCTTTGCTTTAAACATGAACTTCAGATAAACAGTAAGTACTTGCCCTGGCTTATACTTGCCTCACGTAATATGGAGAATATGTGTACACTGAAAAACACTGCTCATCTGAAATTCAGTTTTAACTGGATGCATCCTTTTTGTTTGATAGACATGGGGAAAAAAACCCAGTCATGGCAAAAAGTGACGATGTGGATGGATCTAAAACAGTCTTTATGTATTTCACAGTTTTGCTGTGAAATAGTTTGGTATATTTTGTGGGGGTTCTGCTGATATTCCTGCTTTATTAAAAAATTATAATTTCATTTCGAGATCCTCCAGACAAAATCATTTGAGCTTCACAGTCTTTGTGCAATATTATTGGACTCACTTAATGAAATTATAACTCAAGCAAGGTATTTCATTCTGTTGGACTAAATGAGCTTGGGCGATGAGAGCTCGAGGCGGGGTGCGGGGGGTGGGGGAAGCAAAGCCTTGGCTGCATTCATCCTTGGTGTTTGGTAGAATGAAGGAGGAGCAGGCACTTCATATTAGAGTTATTTATTGTTCTCTTTGTGTGAACACTATATTGGTGCCTGTCCCTACTGGAAACAACAGCTGTTAACAGGCTCTGAGATGAATTTCAATGTGATCTCCTCTGGCCTCTGGAAAGCTTGTCTAAAAAGAAAATAGGCTCAGCCTTGAAAGAAAAGAGCAAGTTCCAGCCTGGGTCTGGTTGCCTGAAGGCTAAGGGCAGTTAAAACCACCAGTGAGGGTTTTCATGGGTATCTGCACTCAGATCAAGGTATAAGTGCAAATGGGAATACTGGTACAGGCAGGAGTCGTCTGTAATAACAGGAAGAGACAAGAGGCAGTGTTGAACACGGTGACCCCACTAAAACATCCTGCCCTCAAGTGGAAAAGGCTGCAGAGAAGAAGGAAAGGGCCCTGCACAGCACAGCAATATAGTCCTTCATGGCCAGTGCCCCAAGCAGCTTAAGAAGAGATCAGAAATGTCTAATGCTGTACCACAGCAAACAAGTAATGTAGCACTTTCATCTGTCGTCCTTTAATGACCGTGGTCCAGATTCATAATGAAACAGAAGGGTTTTGCAGGAACAGGAGAGTGTGGATTCCAAGAGTCCCCTGCACTGAGTCTCTAGCAATAGAGGGTAGGTTCTGTGTGAACAGATACTCACAGCTTCTATGGCATATTTTGTTCAGTGGAAATTTCTAAAATAAGGAACATCTACTCGATTTAATTTCTCATCTTAAAATGTGTTTCCCAGTAGCACTTCCCACCTAGAATTCCTTCACCTCTCTGCTTAAGAAAGAAATTGCCAGTTGAGCATGTTAGTTCACACCAGTAATCCTAGTCTTTGGGAGGCTGAGGTAGGAAGCAATCATGTTTAAGGCCAACCAGGAATACAGAGTGAAATACACATCAACCAGAATAGGATGGGTGCCGAAAGCCAGCTGTTCCTGGCTCCCTAGAATTCCATGAGTGTCAATGACATTTGACCATCTCCAGGATGGTTCAGGCCCTCTTCCTGACTCTGGCCTAATTGTCACTTCTAGTACTTCTACTAACACACCCACTAAGTGGTATGACTATGGATTCAATGAGCCTTTGTTTGTGTGTGTCTGTGTGTTTGCGTGCATGTGTTTGTGTGTGTGTGTGTGTGTGTGTGTGTGTGTGTGTGTTTCTCAGACTCTACCTTTTTACTTCATGTATATAGTTCAAGAGCTCAGAGCAAATGTTCCACATGAGAAGTTTGGATAATCCTTGTCTTTCAGGGGACAATCCCCCTCTTAATTGTGGAATTGCTTTACTCAACTTTCTTTCTAAAAATTTCCTCAATAGATGTTAGCCCACCCACCTGTAAGTAGATGAAAGGTTATTATCCTGAACACAAAGTTTTCAGGGACATAGTACAAGAGCAGAGAAGATGGCAAACATAAATAAATAAGGGAAGATACATGGAAATCATAAGGCTTTAAAATGAATAGAGAGAGGAATTTGATAAAATGCTGTCAGAAATTCAGTAAAAGATGGATCCAGAACGAAGTGTCTGCAGCCATGATCTTTCCACCTCCCTTGTCTAACCTTTTGGGAATAATAACATATGAAAGCATTGGGTTTTTCTGAAACTTGATGTCAAAAGTACATTCCCCCTTCTTTCTCTTTTCAGACAAAGTAAGCATATTGTCAACCTTCCTTGCTCCCTTCAAGTACCTAAGTCCTGGCACCACAAACACGGAGGATGAAGACAATCTAAGTAAGTAACCCTACTTCTCTTGCAAAGAGGACCTCTCTATATACGTATGGTGGTGGAATTATCTTTCTCTGTTTCCTTGAAGCCATGGAGAAGTGACTGGCTGATCTTGCCCAGTATAGGACATCCTGCTCCCATCTCCAGAAGATTCACCTTCTTCTACAGTTATATCCTTACCCATAGTTCCATCCCCACCTGCAGCCCCACACTCTCCATATTCCCACAGTTACCAGAAAGTAGGGAGTCCTACCATCACCTGAAGTATGGAGTCCTTACCCAGAATCTAATCCTCATCTGAAGTCCATCTTCACTTTCAAGACAAAACTCACACAGATATTTATCCTCAACCACAGCCTTGTGCCCACACATAATCCCATCATTAGCATTGCACCAGCATTACCTGCAATCCACCCTGACCATCAGTCCACCCCACCTATAGGACCAAATTTATGCAGTCTTAGTGGCAGTGCCACTATACATGGGATCCTCCCTAATCTGTCACGCCTCTTCACATTCAAGATCACACTCATGCAGAGTCCTGTCCTCACCCAAAGTCTCATGTTCCTGTGGAATAACATCTTCCCTTGCAGTCCCTTATCCTTGTAGCTGAATCTTCATTGGAAGCTCTGTCCTCATTTGGAAGCCCACTCTCACTTGCAGTTCTACCCTTAAATGGAATCTTATCTCCCATTGCAGCCCCATCTTACCAAATACCATGCTCACCCACAGTTGGTGTGTGCGCAGACTCAGTCCTGTCCAAAGCTTCATATCTCACCTACATAGTTACCATCACCAGGAAATCTGCCCTCAGCTAAAGTCCCAGTCTCATATAACATCCTGTCCTCTTATGGAATTCCGACCTTACTTGGAGTCCCATCATCATCTTAAGAATAAGAAAATACCAGTAATCTGTGACCAAGAGCCCCAGGAAGCATAGGAAATAAACTAGTCTTCTTAGACTTATTCTCTTTTCTCTTTCCTTCATTCTCATCTTCTAACTACAGAAAAAATGTAAAATGATTGTAATATCATGGTGTTTCAGAGAATGAATTTTACAGTTCTTTAACAAGAAAAAATAACTAGGGGTTTTCTATTGAAACATCTCTAGTGCATGAAGCTAGGGAAGAATGGGGCAGCATCATTAGGTTCTGATATTGAAGCTGGGTTAAGGAAGGAGGGCATATTCATCATTATGCTTAGATCAATAAGGAGGGCTCAGAATAGAAACTAAAAAAGAGAGTAAAGAGAATAAGGAAACAAGAGTGGAAGAGAGGAGAGGACAGGAGAGGAGAGGAGAAGGGAGAAGAGGGGAGAAGGAGAGGGGAAGGGAGAGAAAAGCAGAGGAGATGAAATGAGAGGAGAGGGAAGAGGAGGGGAGGAGAGGAGAAGGGAAAGGAGGGGAATGCTGGGAGTATTTCATTTGCCCTGTGTTCTCCTCTTACCTGTGGCATTTGTCAAGCATTTGAAAGAGGAGGCTGAACACCCCCATAAGAACACCTCTCTGCATCTTAATATCACCTAACAGATGGACTTCTTTTTCAACTAAAATGAGTTAAGAATGTGCTTATTGTGGGATGGGAAGGAAGCCATGTGGTTGCTAAGGTAATTGGCCGAATCAAGCAAAAACACTGGCAGACATTTCCATGGGAATGTTGTCTGTGTTGTCATCAGCCACTAAGAATCCCAACATATCATTGTGGGCACCGCCTCTCTAGACAATTGTTAATCCTATGAGAAACATTTCTTCCTGTAATTAGTCACTTTCCTCATTGCTGTGACAAGTGCCAACAAAAGCAACTTAAGGGAGGAGGGTTTATTTTGGTTCACAATTCAGGGGTATCATGGCAGGGAAGTCATGGCTACAGAGCATGAACTGGCTGATCACATTGCATCCACCATAGTGAATCGGGAAGAAATGAATGCAAGTGCTCAAGTTACTTTTTACTTTTCAGTTCAGGACCTCAGCCCATGGGAAGATGCCACTAAATCTAAGGGTCTTCCCACCTTAGCTAAGACAGTCTAGAACCTCCCCCACAAACATGTCCAGAGGTTTTTCTAGCTCCTGTCAATGTACTTCTTTACATCACTGCCAAAAGTAAAGTTGAGAGTGCTCAAAGGTCAGAAACTTTCCAGATGGTCACAATTCTATGCTTGAATCATTTCATTTCTAGACAAAAGGGTAGATGAGGAGGGATAGGGAAAGAAACTGACAGCGCTTAGACAGGAGTTCTTGGCCCTGATTTCTAAGATTCTCTCTTAGCAAGGCTTGTGGTTTGGCAAAAACCTTAAAAGTTTCCAGATCTACCAAGTCATGGATGACTACCTCAGAAACCTTGGAAAGACAGGAATTAGAAAGCATATTGTATGTGCTGAATTTATTCTGACATGAGAGGAATTTGAATTCTGTTTTCTGCTCTTTCCACCCGGAGCTTCTGGGAGCTGACTGAATTAGGAGAAAACATGGAATTACTTAGGGAACTTTTGGGAAGAGAGAAGCCACTTTTCTGTAGTAACAAAGGCCCAAGATCTTAAAAATGCAGGACCTTGCTAGAGTCACTGATCTGTCCAGAGGACACTGAAAAAGTCACACACACACACACACACACACACACACACACACACACACCACCACCACCACCACCACCACCATCACCACCACCACCACCACCACCACCACCACCACCACCCCCACGACCAATATTTGACTCCCCCCTGAGGCTGACCAGTCAGTAAAGTAGGAGCCTAGCGTGGAGTAAAGGAGTTCCGCATATATGTTTACTCTTTGGAGTGTGAGGGGTTACCAACAGAGCTGAGGACAGGCAGGGCCATAGAACACAAGGAATGCTCAATCAATGATGAGTTATACTTTCAATTAAAGCTATTTTCCTCTGATTTGGTTTACTGGCTAATGGAAAGAAATGTATGGATAAAAATAATTTTTAATTGTTATGTATTAAAATGCTTTTGAAGTGCTTGGAGAGCTTTGTTCTTCTTTTGACTGATGGATTCATTTGCTTTGTTTGTGTATGTTTGGTTAGATATGTGTGGGGTATACGTATGTGTGTATATGTGTGCATATGAATGAGGACACCAGATGAAGATATTAGATGTCTTCCTCTATCTTTCTCCCTTTATTTTTTTGTTTTGTGGATTTTGAGACAGTGTCTCTTCCCTGAACCTGAAGCCCATATCTCTATCAGGCTATCTGTCAAGCAGCCTCTGAGATATGCCCTTGTCTACACCCCAGTGTTGGGGTTACAGATGTCCATGTCAGTTCCTTATTTTAACATGGGTGATAGAGACCAAAATGCAGGTCTTCCTATTTGTATAGCAAGCACTTTGCCCATGAAGTCATCTTCTCAGACCTCACTTCCTCTCTAAATGCTGCTAATTCGTTCAGAAAACTATTTTTACACATTGTATTTGATATATAGGTATATATACATATATATATGTATATATATATGCCCGTGGTGTGAGTGGTATTTGTGTTATCTACATATGTGTGGCATCACTGTGTTTGTTGTGTATATGTAGTGTATGAGAGTAGCATGTGTAGTAAATGTATATGTCTCTGTACATGTGTGTAGCGTGTGTGAACATGTATGTGGAAGCATGAGTGGGAAAAAGCACATTTGAACCTCCTCTAGCCCCATGACTCACGCATTTGCATCCTCTGGGTCTGTTGTGTCTACGCTCTTATGTAAAGATAGCTAATATCTAACCATTTACCTGCTTTCAACTGTTCAAGAAAGTTTTTCAGCAGTGATCTAGATCCTGGCAACACAGAATGTATAAAAGGTATTGCCTAGAGCTGTGACCATCTCCATTATAAGAAGTTGTGCAGAGAGACAGAGAAATATAGTGAGGACACATCCACTACACACATATTAGGCTCTGCCTATGGAACATTGTTTTCAACATTCAGTTCTGAGAAGACTTTCACCTTGCAACACAGAAAGGCAATGTATTCCTGCCTACCCTGGCCCCGCCCTCTGCTCAGAAGTTGGGATTTGGTGCAGATTCAGTGACAAACAACTGAGACCAATAGTTCATATTGCCTTTGGACTTTGACAGAGGACATCTCCCTATCAACTGTATCTGTTTTTCTCTGAATCCCTGCACCCACCTCACAGTCTTGTGGTTTCTCAAGACAAACTTTGGAAGATGGCATCTTCTATCAGCTGCTTCAGCTGTTGAACTGTTGTACCCACGCACACACCAGTAAATGCCAAGCTCATGCTACTTCCTACACACCTCAGCCTGAACCTACCTGTCATGCACCCCACCGTTTAGGCTAGCTCCTGTCTCTACACACCTAGCCCCCCGACTGCCTGGGGGAAGAACTCGGCTGCCTGCCATTCTGCTGTTGTTAAGCCTTGTCATCTGGGAGGAGCTGTTCTGTTTTTTAAACCGGAGCTGCTTGGCAGCCGAATAACCTTCACCAGGAACAATATTATCTCTTCAAATGTAGCGTGGCGCACTGGATGGCTGGCTCTCCAGAGTCCTCCTGACCCGCAGACATGACAGTGTCATTACCAGTGATGCATGCAATCCCAATGATGCCAAGCCATGAGAGGAATCCGGGTGTACATAATAACCGAGTAGAAGATTCTGGCCTGCACGGGGGCCAGCAGAGAAGGAGGAGGCATATAGAGAAATTTACAAGCAAGCATGGCTTCTTAAGGATGATAGCAATATGATTCCATTTAAGACCCGACCGCCACCTTGACTAACAATTTCTAAATGTCATCAACCCAGGTCATCGAACTTAACAAATTGCAAGTAACAGACTTATTTGGAAAATAAATATGTAGCCATAGCTATGACAATATACATTTTTTTTCTTCCTGTCCAAAATTCAATTCCTTCATGCCATAAACCTTTAAACTTAGCATTATAATTGCTGATACATTTTGTCAAATGAGATAATGTGCTTATAAGGCTCTGGAGAAGAATTCAGTTGTGAGAGAAGCAGAATGGAATAATTTCATTTTTCATTT